AAGAAAAAAACCATAGCTAAACATGCGCTTGATTATGCCATTTAGCTTTATAGTAGTATCAAAACCAATCCCCTTGATTAGAATGATTGGGCCCACTCTAAGAGACCCTAGGTGTGACAATTTGTGACATTTTTTTTGTGGAAATTTTTTTTTTTTTTTTTCCCAACACGATTTGCATTCATTGAACTCATCAAAGTCTCGTCAACTACTTGCAGTCGAAGGCATCATTGCGGAGTGTTTCATGAATAATTGCAAGTTCTTTAATGCAATTTGCTTCTTTTTCTAATACCTAAATGCGTAATTGATGGTTTAAACACGAGACTTCGGGGCCTGAATAAGCAACGGATTTTCTATTTTGTTTTATATCCTGTGCCACTCTCTATCGCACTTTTTATTATATTGCTATTTCTCCTACATAAATATCATATTTTAGTTCTTTTTGGTTTCCTTAAAATTTAATAACTATTAATTGAGTAAAAAATAAATACAGCAGCTTCAAAAAGTAATATATAATAAAAACTTAAAAAATACAGCAAAAAATTCATAAAAAATCACATTTTTTATGCATTTTGATTTTTTGAGTACGTTAAATTTTGTGTATAACTGAATTAATAGTTATTGAATCTTAAAAAAACAAAAAGAACTAAAACATGATATTTATGTAGGAGAAATAGTAATATAATAAAAAGTGAGAACACAGGGTGTGGGACAGAAGATCCCTTGCGGGCTGAATACCTATTGTTTGACTACTATGGAGACGTGGAAATCAGTGATTAAAACTTTCCTTAGAGGCCAAAAATGAATGGATCATTTATGAAATTTGACTTTCCAGGTTCTAACCAAGGGGCTAGAGAGAAAGCTGTTGCGTTTACGTAGTTATATGCATAGTTGTCAAAATCGTGATCCGGATCGTAGGATCGTACGATCCTACGATCCGAATAACCAAAATCGATCCAGATAGTATGCAGAGTCGCAAATCATATTAATTTTTGCAGGATCGCATAGAATCGTAGCAGGATCGTGCAGGATCGTGTAGGATCGTATGATCGGTAGGATCGTACGATCCTACAATTTATTTGTAAATTTGTGAAATACGAAGCTCCATTTTGCAAATAAATGAAAATATTTGTGTTATATTTGTAATTTATCAAAGAATTGCAACCTTTAATTGCAATTAAGAGCTTTTGGTAGGATCTTACGATTCTACGATCCGATCCTGTGAAATTAAAATCGATCCTACGTAGGATCCCGATTTTTCAAACCTTGGTTATATGTAAACAAATATAAAAGTTCTACTGTATATGGGCTCGGTCTTGTTGCATCTATTGGCTGTCGTTAACCGCAGTTTAGAGGAAACAACAATTAAGTCATTCTTTAAATAAATGATAATATTTGAATGCACATGCTTACATTTGTTGGCCCCTAATTTTTAGACACTTAGCCAATTCAATTTGGTTATTTCAAAAATTAACATTTGAAACTTTTCTTAACTAAACAATGATTGAATGAAGACCTTTTCTTTACCAAGTCATTCAAAGTCTACGGAATATTTTTGTTCAAGTCCAAATTATGGGAGATGGCTTGAATTACTCGAGAGTAAGAATGTTAATGAGTCGAGATTTATCCAAACTGATCATATTTTATGCGAGTCTAGTCTAAATCTTTTTGAAATTCGGACTCTTACTGACCCTGGTTCTATCATCTATGAGAGAATCATGAATTTTGAGTGGAATTTGAATTTCATATATCGCCTGATCCAAACCTAAACATGAGTTAATTTCAAACGAGCAAATTGTGGATAATATCTCATGATTTCAGTTCACAATTTTTGCGGTCCTTGAAAATTTTCTTACTTGAAAATAGTAATTAGATCATATTCATGCATGTTATCTTTGAAATCCGTATTTGATATTTTTTTTAGCAGTTAAATTGCACATTATAAGAATATTCATGAATACCTGTTGTTACCAAAATCCATGAGAGTTGGTTTTGGTCTTTTTTTCAAGCTCATAAAGGTTTGGATTTACTTATGAGCATTTATTCAGTTGAGCCTGGATGTAGCGGATATATTACAAATCATTATCCTATTGATTGACCTGCAGAGCTTTGGCTGTGGATGCTCTCATCCAATTGCTTATTATCCTTATCTCGTGATTTATTCAGTGCTTATACGCAGCTGGACAAAGCATGTATGTATGTTGAACCAATTTTACTTCTTGACGTTGTTCATGACCGCCCATTCAATTGTTTAGTGTATAACCCCCAGCTAAGGCTAGAAATAATCCGACCAAAAGTTGCTTTTGCAATTTTTTTCTTTTCTAATTATGATTTGCATATTCATATGATCCCTTGATTCCCTTTCCTAAGCTTTGCATTATTCGAAAATATTTTGCATGATCTGTATGAACTCTATCAAAGAAGTTCCTAGCATATAGCTAGTAATTAAGTTTGCATGAATCAAAGTTGGAAGTTCTTGTTGCATAGGCCCCATTTGGCAAGTGAATTTTTTGGGTGTTTGTCTAAAACACTTTACTGTAACTTTACTGTAGAAGTTGTAGAAAAAATTTTTAAAGTGTGTAAATTTTTTAATATTTTGAAACGTATATAGTTCAAAATTTTTGAGAAATTTTTTTTTAAAGTTACTTTAACTAAAGTTATTAAAAAACTTGTAACAGACAAACTTGGTCAAAAATTTGATTGCCAAACTAGGCCATAGATACAAGCTAGTAGTTGTTTACACTGGCGGAGCTCCTCTTTGGCCTTGTCCTCACTGGCCAAATAAGCACTTCATTTTTTGGGTGGGAAAAAAATTGTGAAAGAATCCATTTTCACCCACAAATAAGTAATTGTACCCCCCCCCCCACTAGCCAGATAAAAAATTCCTTTTAGGTATTTAGTTTTTAAAAGAATAGATTTTTGTTCCTAATAATTTGTAAAGAGTCAATTGATACATGTAATCACAAATAATTTGATAATAATTCTTAACAAAAAAATAATTAGTGACCCAATTAACCTATCATTTTGATGACGACTATACGTACGAGCCTAGTATTTTAAGAAATTTGGTCCTCCGAGTGTTTCTAGCATCATTTTATGTTCTTTGTTACATTTGCTTATAGATGCTACTCCCTTTTATGTAATCGCCATTATTTTCTGCCTCTATTGTAATGCAGTAAAATAACTATCCATATTTGTGCCCCATTGAAAATATATTCTAGCTTTGCCACTAGTTGTTTATGACACAAGTCTACCTACATATAAAGATCATGCGCGCAGTAAAATCTTTAGTAACATTTAGCAACTTTTGGGTGCATGATCACCTGCAAATAGAACCGAGTTTAATATGGAAAAATTTCATTGAATCAAGTGAGTTGCAAGACATAAAAGAGAAACTAAAGAAAACCAGAGAAGAGAATCGAGAAAATTAATATTTCAGGTTGAAAATAAATAACTTGATTTAACTGCCGTAGGTTTGCCTTGTGGCCTACGTAGGATTACATGCTCAAGTTTCGGCACATTTGGAGTTAACCGGCCTCAGTTGAAGCCTCGTATGCTTTGGCATGGCAGGAAAGGAGAACTTCCTTCAATGCAGCAGTCTAGATTAGCCTTTCCCACTGGTTATAACCATGCAGTTGCTTGGTTGACATTCATTTCTGGAGACCAGCAGAAGATTATCTCATTCAAGCCGCCTTGGAATCAACATAAACAAATGTTTGCTTCCAGAGAAAAGGATTAGAAAGAATAGGACAACTAATTCTTTTTGACATTATCTAGTATCTAACGTAAAATTTTCTGTGCACGAGGTTCAAGAAGTACTTAAGAGTAGTTCACGTTGTTTATAAGGTAGTGTATAGAAGTACGAAGACGAAAATCCTATAACTCTTCTAAAATAGTGACAACTGGTCCATCGTTCAAGAAAATTAGTCCATAAATCTGTGAACCTTCAACCTTTTAAGGTAACATTTGATCCGCCCTATCAATTCACTTTGTCTTCATCATTAAAGCCACATTAATTTGTTTCTCTCACTCTTCTCGGTCGTCAAGTTTAAAATCCGAATCATGTACCCGACAGTTGAGAGATAAAAAAAATGTAACAAGGGATGGGACGATTTAAAAAAAAAACAGTAAGTATTCCACAAATAACCTCTCACACTTCATGTTAGAGATGAATAAAACATCATATGGATTAGACGATTGGTAATAGAACGAGAGAATAGTACTAATTAGAAGAGAAATAATGATGAGGATGAGTTTCTTAAACAATGAGCTAAATGACAAATCTTCGCCGTTTCTGCTTGTTAACTCCATAAATGGTGAATTTGAATCTTCAATAGATGTTCGTACTAATCCGAACTTTTGCACGCGAGCCGTTTTTGTTTGGCCACAAATTTGCTGTTGCTTGATTTTCAACGTAACGAAGACATGGCAAGTAAAAGCTGTAGAATCAGAACCTATGGGTTGTAGTTATTTTGTGCTGGTAATTATAATTGACTGCTTCAACTCAACAAAACTCATGCGTCAATGCGTGGTGGTTGACGCAAGATTAGATGTAGTTTTTTTTTTTTTTTTTCCAAATAGATAAATAATTAAAGAATTGCAATTCATCAACACAGATGATGTACAGCATTGAGCCAAATTAATAATTAAATCCTTGTCTACCATATTTTTTTAACATCTATTAACCGTTGAAGACTCTGTCTAGCAAATTTTTTGTGTGTCAAATACGAGAAAGGTAGGATTTGAGGGAGGTGTCAACTGGTGATGAATTTAACCTCGAAAGTTGACTTCAGTACCTCTCCTCATCTCTCTCCAGAGTATAGACGTCACCTTTGGAGGCTAAAATTGCACATTTCATCAAATTTCTTAATGCTTTTCTATATAACCAATCACAGACGACCAGAAACAATCAAGATGATCATCCAAAACCACAAGACATCTTGTGCTAGGTTAGGCATCTTTGGAGGGGGACAAGACCACAAGACATACATAACTCTCCCAGGATGATCATCCAAGGGTCCTCCAACTCTTGTTTCCCCAGTGGGCCACAAGGGATATCAATTTATGGTGTTTCTGATCAAGATGTTGTTTCTTCTTCTTCTATTCAAGCTGCTACTTCAGCCCCGGATACTCATTCCAGTTCTTTCTTATATAATCTGTCAATTCTCAAAGACAAGGTTCATCAGGTGCAATCTTTGGCTAGCACGTTCATTTCCTCTGATCATAATCAACCTCCCGAGTCAACGCCCATAGCTGTAGCTAGCATGGGTACGTTGATTCAAGAAATTATTATTACTGCATCCTCTATGATGTTCGCTTGTCAACAGGTGTCTCTTGGAGCTGGAGGGCCTTCAGGAAATAATAATAGGACTAGTTCAAATGAATTGTACCACCACCACCACAGCCAGAGCCACGGCCACGGCCATGGACACGGACACCACCAGCGTGTTAAGGTCCCCGAGTTGCCGGTGGCTCAACAAAATTGTGGCGGCAATCGAGTTACGCATTTTGGAGAAGATAGAGGTCAGGGTTTTTATGCAAATGATGCGCTTGATAATTGGTATGGTGACAGCTATAATACTAATAATTGTAGCACAACTTATAATAATACTAGAACAAGTAGTGTTACGGTTAGCAACCATAATAATGAAGTTGGAGTTGGAAGAAGGGAACTACTGCCTCAAAAAGGTGAAGCTAGCGGAGAATTAGAGAAGCTTTCACCAAAAAGCTATGATATTGTGGAATTGGATGCTGCTGATTTATTAGCAAAGTATACACACTATTGCCAAGTTTGTGGTAAAGGGTTCAAAAGGGATGCCAATTTGAGAATGCATATGAGGGCACATGGGGATGAATACAAGTCTACCGCTGCTTTGAGCAACCCTCTAAAGAACAACTTGGGTGCTAATGGAAAAGATCAAGAAGGCTTGCCAAAATTGCCTAGGAAATATTCATGCCCCATGAAGGCTGCAGATGGAATAAGAAACATGCCAAGTTTCAGCCCTTGAAGTCCATGATTTGTGTGAAGAATCATTACAAGAGAAGCCACTGTCCCAAGATGTATGTTTGCAAACGTTGCAGCAGGAAGCAATTCTCGGTGTTGTCCGACCTGAGAACTCATGAGAAGCACTGTGGGGATCTCAAATGGCAGTGCTCTTGTGGCACCACATTTTCCAGGAAAGATAAGCTCATGGGACATGTTGCTTTGTTCGTGGGACATACCCCGGCTATTAGTTCTTTGGCAAAGATGGGGAAAGCTGATCAGAATGCTGCACAAATGCAACTAGATGATAGGTAATGTTGTAATAAAAAATTTGCCCTCTCCTTTTCTTATTTTTTCTTCCTTTTCCTTGTAAATTTTTTAATCGTTGATGTATTGATAGATGAAGCGGCTACATATGATGTCAATGTATCAGAGGTAGTTACAGATAAATCGTTGCCTTCATACATATACTGTTCAAGTGGCCAGGACCTCTTCTTATATTGTTTAATGGAATATTGACCATGATGATCGATACAGCTACTGCGGAGCAGAACTCCAGAAATATTCAGGAACCAACAGAAATAAGTTCCTGCCATGCAGGCCAGAATCATTACTAGATTAAACTGTAGTTATTTCAATCTATATATCGACATTGAGTCGGAATAAAAATCGAACGTGACTAACTTTTTCTTGATCATCGGAGAAGGAATTCAACATTTTTATATCTTGTTCCCTAGCGTCATCGACTAAGAATTGGGCGAGAAATTTACATCAAAATCCAAAAGCAGTCATGTTTCTGAAGCTTCACGCATATGCTGGGATTTTTATTTTTTTATTTTTTTTTTTTGGGGTCAGCTAGGTGGAATGTCAATTGATCCCTACCTTCAAGTAGTCGTTTCACGGGCAGTTGATATCTTAGTTCCTGAAGGGTCAATAACTTGTAAAAACAGCATTATCATAAACTGCGTCCTAGCAGGTGCTTATCTCATCAAAAATCTAGTCTATAATTTCTTCACATGTTGACAGTTATGTCTATTGACGGTTACTGCTGGCTTAGTACTTCGTATGCAGGCAACATTTCAAGAATGACCTTTAAAATTTGCTGAGTAATTATGAATGTTCTGTAGTACTATGTAGTAATATAATTTGGAATTCATTAACTCCAGTCCAGGATTAATCCTTTTTTTTTTTTGGATGCAATACCGAAGAACTAGTCCTACTAAACTATAAACAGCGTGGTGAAAATTGTTCTCTCTTTCAAGATTTGCTGGTTTTGGCTTCTCAAGATTGTCGGCCTTTTGGTTGCATTTCCGCATCATCTTTCGTCAATTATGCACTACCTGCTGCTGCTGCTGCTGCTATTCGTTAACTAAATCTTATAGTAATCAAACATAACAGTCACACACTTTTGGATTGCAATTTTTCCTCGAAAATGTTTTGAGATTATGTTGAACATGTTTTCAAATCACTTTTTTATTTTATAAACTTCAAATCGCTCCAATTTATTTTTCTACAAAACTTCAGATCCCAGGCTAGTCCCCACATAGGAAGCTCACCATTTACTTTATTAACTTAAAAAGATGGATAGAGACCAATAGGGCTTCTTAGTCATGGAAGAAAGACCAGCATACGAAATGAGCACTATGTTAGTAAGTGATATGTAATAATGTCTATATAAGTGACTTATAGTTTCTGAGACATGTTCTGAACTATTATGGTGAATGAAGTCGAACCCACCCAAATTTTTTTTGCCAAAAAAAAAAAGGTTATGTTATTTGCACTTCCATTATCCCATTTTTATTTTGATGAAACCATATTATTCCCTCTCTAATTTCTTCTCCTTACCTATGAGTTAACTTTATTAAATTTTCTCTTACGTTCCAAAATCAATTAATTATTCCATTACACATTATAATGGCTAATTTAAAATTGTTACTAATATGTATTATGTATTTTTCTATAAAACTTTACGAAATTATATGATGCCAAATATCAATCTAGTAATGTAATATGAACAGATTCCAAACTTCAAGTTCAAAAAAATAAACAAATAAAAAACTCCAAACTTCAAATATGACAAAAAAAAAAAACTAAGTATAACTACGATGTTTTATAAATAGGATACTAATACTTCAAAAATTCAACAATGAATAGCTCATATAGCCACCATAGTGGGAACGGAGCTTTCTAGTATATTTCAAAAAAAGCATAACAGTATAAGGTATCCAGATGATGCAATGGAACCTCAATTGTGCTCATCAAAATCTGCAAATTTGAATGAGAATATACAAAATAAATTAAAAAACAGTTATGTAGATTTAGGAAAAGAGAAGTAAAAGTTAAATTTTTTGATCTTTTGGACACGTGCGACGATTGTGTTCAACTTCCCTGTATGCGAACACAAGATAGGGGTAAATTGATTAGTGATTATGCTTTAGGCATCTTTTAAGATTAGGAATGGATCAATCCTCAACGTGTCTAGCACTTTTGTATGGAATCACTTGAGTCTTTACTCATATAAGTGTACATTTTTTGTTTATCAATACAAATTCTATTGTTGCAGAAAAAAAAACACAAGATGGGGTAGGAGAAGAAATTAGGACAGGGATAATATAGTCTTATCAAAATAAAAATGGGATAGTGGGAGTGCAAATAACATTATCCAAAAAAAAAAAAGAAGAAAAATCATTAAAATGTAACGGGAATTGGGAACCCGAACTTGCGAAGTTTTCTTTCTTTTTTTGGAAGCAATTTAGAAGCTTGCTTTCCATCTTTATTTCATGGTAGTACTACAGTTATGTGTATGCCGATTAAAATTTGTATACTTTAGTCATCACCTGTTATTTTAATGTCCAAATTTTGGTGTATTCCATTGGAGAACAAACCGTCGCTACACTGGAAGTGGAAAAGCAGAACTCATTAACGTTCGAGATAAGAAAATCACCTTGATACTCGATCCTTCACGTTTTCCATAGGTCATGCCCTTTTAATTCCTAGAGAAGAAGATAAAGCAAGTCTACAGACGAGTCTGTTCAAGTATCTGACCTCTTTATTGATGACAGATTTATCAAATATCAATTCCAATTTCCAGGTTGTAGAAATTTCGAGTGTGTTATTTAGAATAATTTTTTTAAAAAAAATACTAGTTATACTAAACACTCCTTCGATGTAACGTGTGTGAAATAAAAAAATAATTAAAAAATGTATTGATCATACAAAAAGATAAATAAATCAGTGGCACTAATGTATTTCTGGCCACTTGAACTTGATTTTTGAGGCTTCAGTAAAATTGTTTAAAAATTGAAAATATTTACTTATAAAGCAAATGCTATTTGGGAAAGATTTTTTTTTATTTTAACGGATTTTCTTTTTGTTTTGTTTTTGTAATCCATCTAGGTTATAGGAGGAGCTTCACCATACATTTGCTTTTTCATACTCCCTCTGTCCCATTTTGATCGTACTGATTTTTTTTTCACACAATTTAATAAAAAGTAGTTAACTTTGTTGGAAAAACAAATTTAAATTGCTATTTTTTTAAAATACCCTTGCATTAAATAAAGTTGGCTTTTCATATATCAATATGTTTTGAAAAATGTAAATGCATTAAATGGAGTAGGTTATATTCAATACTACTAACAATCTATATTAAATAAAGATAGTTTATAATAATAACAACTTATATTAAATAAGGATATTTTAGAAAAATTAAAAGACAACTACATTCTTCAATTGAAAAGTGAACTACAATTTGGGATAAAAAAAGGAAAACAAAACTATCAAAGTGGGACGGAGGGAGTAGAATATTTCATCATAATTTCTACTTTGAAGGATAATTTGTTTCTTGCATATCACTAGCATAAACATATTCATTCATGTCTCCTTTTTTTTTTTTTTTTTTTTTTTGAAGCAATTCATGTCTCTCTAAATGGCCAAGGATTAAACAATTCAGCATTTGTCGATTTATTCTTCGCGATGAATTTCAATTGTTACGTCGTAGAATAAAGCAAATCTCCTCCCTCTATTCTTCCCATCACGAACGGTCCAGATCCACAATCCCCGTGAACATGAGGAACATGGTAGGTCAATCTCAACCGTCAATATCCATCTTTAGTCAACGGTCCTAATTTACAATCCTTGTCAATTCCTATCCACCAATCAAATTCCACCTGCCCATTTTTATATAAAGCCACGGCCACTCCTTTCCCCAAGTCAGTCAAACCCAAATTCAAAAGCAAGTTCCCGAAAGATCCCTCCAAAAAATGGCCGCAAAGGCAGAGAAGAAACCCGCCGAGAAAAAGCCAGCAGCAGCAGAGAAGTCTCCGGCGGCAGAAAAGAAGCCAAAAGCAGGCAAAAAGCTCCCAAAAGATGCTGGAGCAGCCGCAGCGGCAGCCGGAGACAAGAAGAAGAAGAGGCAAAGAAGGGTACCGAGACATACAAGATGTACATCTTTAAGGTGCTGAAGCAAGTTCATCCGGATATCGGGATCTCGAGCAAGGCAATGGGGATAATGAATAGCTTCATCAACGATATCTTTGAGAAGTTGGCTCAGGAGTCTTCGAGGCTGGCGAGGTATAACAAGAAGCCGACCATCACGTCGAGGGAGATTCAGACGGCGGTGAGGTTGGTTTTGCCCGGGGAGTTGGCCAAGCATGCTGTTTCTGAAGGGACTAAGGCTGTTACCAAGTTTACTACAAGTGGTTCATGATTTAGGTTCGGGTTTTAGAATTTAGGGTTGTATTCGTGGCTGTAAAGAAAGTAAACTCCATTCAACTACTAGTAGTTCTTGATTTAGGCAGTGGGTTTTTGATTGTACGTAATGGGCTGTTTTTGGATCTGCTTAATGAATGGAGATGACCAAGTTCTTGTATCTCAGTTCTTTCATGGTTAATTATCGTCGTCTAATGTTTAGTGATAGTGTCTTGTTTTGATGATTCTTAATATTTGTGTTTGATTTCTTCTGGTAAGATTGTAGTTGAATCGTGTAGGCAAAATAAACTTTCTGAAAATTTAGATTATAAGATTTTCTAAGATTTTCTATACCAATAGTTATACCCATTCAACTATGTATTGCGGAGACTACATCGGAATTTTAAAGATGCCCTTGAAATTCGATCTTTGATATTATAAGAGCCCATCAAGTAGAAGAAAAGAAAATCAGAAAATGGAAACTCAGATGAATCGAGCATAACAGAGTACAATAGGATCATTGCCAGGGAAAAAGAACAGAAACAGGAAAGAGGGGACCCTTTGATATTTTAGTGTCATAAAGCAGGAAAAACTGGAATATATGCATTAATCCCTACATTTCCTAATGCGTAGTAGTTCTGTTCCAAAAGTCTTTGGTTCAGGATCTAATTGCCATCCTAGGCTCTG